AGACACCAAAGGGCAGCACAGACCTGTTATTACTCGCTCAAGCATGGCTGAACAAAACCAGTCTCTACCACAAATTGGACCCAGACCTGCCCAGGGTCTCGTAACTAGATTGCACGGAGGAGTAGAGTCCGTTATCGGAATTAAATAGACAAAACGCCACACCAAAAAGAGTGGCCATTTCCAACACTTATTCCAGAAAGAGGAACAACCCGTTTCATATACGGCCCGTAGACGTTTCACGTCTGCCACATTCAGTCGATTTAAGACGCAAGCTCCACTTCCTGTGGTCTCTGACCGTCGATATACCTTTAAGTGTCAGCTTTGAAGCTATATTCCCTCCGGAGCACTGACACACTGGTGCCCTTCCGTCAACATGCCTTTAAGTTTCAGTTTTCAACCATATTCCCCACAGAAGCCAAACTCTTTGGTATCCCAGAAGCTGCTCAGCGGGTCAGGGCAATAAAGCTCCCGGTTCGCAGGTTGTTCCGTCTTATGGATGGAAGTACGACGGTATATGATCTTCTTCGCACCCACGGCATTACCTCATAAAATTTCTGCATTGCATCTGCAATCACAACGCTGACTTCCCGGATCGCCACTCAGCCATTGGACTCTTGATAGTCGTCTCCCCACACTGCTGCTGGGGGGACTTTTTAACCTAGGCCTGTGTATGGCCTTCAATTGAAGCTGCTTCCGCTCCGCCACTCTGCCATTGGACTCTTGATAGTCGTCTCCCCACGCTGCTGCTGGGGGGACTTTTTAACATAGGCCTCTGTATGGCCTTTAATTGAAGCTGCTTACGCTCCGCCACTCTGCCATGGGCCTCTTGGGTATCCCAGAAGCTGCTCAGCGGGTCAGGGCAATAAAGCTCCCGGTTCGCAGGTTGTTCCGTCTTATGGATGGAAGTACGACGGTATATGATCTTCTTCGCACCCACGGCATCACCTCATAGAATCTCTGCATTGCATCTGCAATCACAACGCTGACTTCCCGGATCGCCACTCAGCCATTGGACTCTTGATAGTCGTCTCCCACACACTGCTGCTGGGGGGACTTTTTAACCTAGGCCTGTGTATGGCCTTCAATTGAAGCTGCTTCCGCTCCGCCACTCTGCCATTGGACTCTTGATAGTCGTCTCCCCACGCTGCTGCTGGGGGGACTTTTTAACATAGGCCTCTGTATGGCCTTTAATTGAAGCTGCTTACGCTCCGCCACTCTGCCATGGGCCTCTTGGGTATCCCAGAAGCTGCTCAGCGGGTCAGGGCAATAAAGCTCCCGGTTCGCAGGTTGTTTGTTCCGTCTTATGGATGGAAGTACGTACGACGGTATATGATCTTCTTCGCACCCACGGCATTACTTTCGTAGAATTTCTGCATTGCATCTGCATGCAACTTCACTCTGCATCTCGCCCCCACTGCATGCTCTGGGGACTTTTTTCACATCAATTGCCGCACTTCCCGGATCGCCACTCAGCCATTGGACTCTTGATAGTCGTCTCCCCACACTGCTGCTGGGGGGACTTTTTAACCTAGGCCTGTGTATGGCCTTCAATTGAAGCTGCTTCCGCTCCGCCACTCTGCCATTGGACTCTTGATAGTCGTCTCCCCCACGCTGCTGCTGGGGGGACTTTTTAACCTAGGCCTGTGTATGGCCTTCAATGAAGCTGCTTCTGCTCCGCCACTCTGCCATTGGACTCTTGATAGTCGTCTCCCCACACTGCTGCTGGGGGGACTTTTTAACATAGGCCTCTGTATGGCCTTCAATTTTTAAGCTGCTTACGCTTCGCCACTCTGCCATGGGCCCCTGTACCGCCTCCTCTTGCTGCTGCCAGGTCCAGAGTGTGTCATGGGTCCCTGTACGGCCTCCCATTTGCTGCTGACTTCATCGCCAGACTCTGCCATGTGCCACTTTCAGGTCTCCTTACACTGTTGGTGGGTTCCATTTTGTGATAGGGTGCTGTATGGCCTTCCATTGCTGCTGCCTCCACCGCCCCCCTGCGCCATGTGCCTCTGTCGTCTGCTCACGCTGCTGACGGCTTCCGCTTTTTAACCGAGGCCTGTGTTTGGCTTCCGAATACTGCTGCATCCACCGCCACCCTGCGCCATGTGTCTCTGTCGTCTGCTCACGCTGCTGACGGCTTCCGCTTTTTAACCTAGGCCTGTGTATGGCTTCAGAATAATGCTGCCTACACCGCCACCCTGCGCCATGTGCCTCTGTCGTCTGCTCACGCTGCTGCCAGGTCCATACTGATTCATGGCCCCCTGTACCGGCTCCTCATGAACGTGGTTCAGCGGGTTTGCATCACTTAACGGCAAATCGTTGACAAACGCTGGGACGTTCAGTGTTGTGCGCATTAAGCCAGACACCAAAGGGCAGCACAGACCTGTTATTACTCGCTCAAGCATGGCTGAACAAAACCAGTCTCTACCACAAATTGGACCCAGACCTGCCCAGGGTCTCGTAAGTAGATTGCACGGAGGAGTAGAGTTCGTTATTGGAATTAACTGTGAGGGACTTTTAAACCTAGGCCTGTGTATGGCCTTCAATTGAAGCTGCTTCTGCTCCGCCACTCTGCCATTGGACTCTTGATAGTCGTCTCCCCACGCTGCTGCTGGGGGGACTTTTTAACATAGGCCTCTGTATGGCCTTCAATTTTAGCTGCTTACGCTCCGCCACTCTGCCATGGGCCCCTGTACCGCCTCCTCATGCTGCTGCCAGGCCCGTAATCTGCCATGGGCCCCCGTACCGACTCCTCATGCTGCTGCCAGGCCCGTAATCTGTCATGGGCCCCTGTACCGCCTCCTCATGCTGCTGCCAGGTCCAGAGTGTGTCATGGGTCCCTGTACGGCCTCCCATTGCTGCTGTCTCCATCGCCACACTCTGCCATGTGCCACTTTCAGGTCTCCTCACACTGCTGGTGGGTTCCATTTTGTCATAGGGTGCTGTATGGCCTCCCATTGCTGCTGCCTCCACCGCCACACTGTGGCTCCACACTCTGGTTTTGGCCCCGTGACTGCCCAAATGAGTGAAGTGTGCGGTGATTCTAAGATCGACGGCACTCATCTGCATGTCATACTGACTGACAGTATTATTTCTCTTCCCCAGCAGACTCCAAGGGCATTTAAATTAAAGGTACAGTGTTCTGCACTAATATAAAGGCTCTCTGAAGCCTAGAAACACCCTTTTTATAAGTTAAATTCGCAGCGAATATATTCGGCTCGAAGCGAATTTATTCGGCGAATTCGGCGAATCAGCCGAACCGAATTTTTGAATAATTCAACTCACTAGAAATTCATGACCTTATGCATAATAAGGTCCAGAAAAACTTGTCCACCCACAAACAAGCCTATGTTATATAGTTTCATATACTGCTTCCTAGTGACCAATGTCCCATAGACCATGAAGAGATAAAAAAAATTCCCAATAGTGCAAATGCTCCGATACTAAAATAGATACCTTGTTTGGGCTAGTTTGAAGTGCGATTTCGTTCAGCAGTTCAGGTGCGATTCCAATGCAAATTGTAGTGTATGAGATTAGAAATCGCACTTGAACCAGACTGAAATCACACAGGACTCTTTATAAAATCACAGTGCTGCCAACCTGCACAAATGTGAACCGGCTGTAAAAACTCACTGAAACGTACATGAAACCTGATGTGATACTGATGTGAAACTGATGTCTCTGCAAGCTAAAAACTTTAAAATACTGGTATCTGCGCATCCCCAGTTTTGAGGGTTAGACACCAGAGGCTGCTGCAAGGACTGGGACTGCTCTTATAAAATCTCAGGTTAACTGGCTGCCCCCCTGCTACAAGCCTTTACTTTGTGGCTACTACTGAAGGGCATAAAACTACTGAAACAGGATTTTGGGAATCTGTCCTGCAAGGCCTACTTGTGTTTTGAGCATTGTGCACCCTTAGCCCTCTCTCCTGCATTTGTTCAAGTACTGCATTCAATCTTCACATGACGCCCCTAGACTGAGCCTGAATTTTGATGGTGTGCTCTGGAACTGGAAACGGGCTGGCAGACTTTGATCAGACAAGGGAGACCTGGGTTATTTACAACTGCCCCTCCAGCGGTTATTGATACATACATGTACCCCCCGTATGTAAGTCTCAGTGTTTTTTTCTGCCTTGCTAAAGATCCTTAGACCCCAGCTGAAAGTGATGGAGTTGATAAAAGAAGAATCAAATGAATAATTGATTTTTTTTTTGTAGTTTTTTGGCAACAGGGGATTGATTTTCCTATACACAATATTCTACATGATACATGTGATGCTATGGGGAATCCCCTAAAAGATTTTGGGTGAATTCACGTGATCCAACTGGTAAATCGCAGAGCAGCCAGAGCGATTCACTGCTCCCGCCACTCTGCATTGCTGGCTGCAGTAGGGGGCGTTGTGATGTGCGATTCAGCGCAACCAAACAGCTCCCCTTTTTTGTTTTGAAAAATGTGAAGCATACAAAGCTAACACTTTATTCATTGCAATGTCAGGCAGTGCAATGCACTGCTCTGCCCAACATTGCTGTGTAATTTGGCCTAGTGAACTGCGATGTAATGCAGCATGTCTGCATTTTACCGCAGCCCGCTACAAAGCAGAGCTAGGCTGTATCCTTGAGGGTTAGGGACTGATGTGAATGTACAATATATATGTAAAGCTCTGCGTAAATTGACAGCGCTATATAAGTACCTGAAAGAATAATAATAATAATTGCAGCGTGACTGGGACACGTAGCAAAGAATTGTTTTCTGGGTGTCCCTCCAGTGACAGACATCTTGCCATGTGGTAAAATGTCTGTCACCACATTTAGTGTGAATTGGTCCTTAGTGATACAAATCCCAACAGAGAAATAGTGGCTGGCTGGATATCAGCAGACAATTTGAGAAGAACGGGAACTTCACCCATTGCATTGGAGCACTGAATGGCACACAAATCAGCATGCAAATGCCCTAAAAAAGTGGCTCTAAGTTATATAATCACAAGAATGTTTGTTTCTTTAGTGCTGTGGGCAGGGGCGGACTGACAACTCATGGGGCCCCCGGGCAATAGGGGATCATGGGGCCCCCGTGTCCTTGCCCAAACTCAAAAAAGCCTATGAAAAAGGTACCAGGGGCATCTCATGGGGCCCCCTACTGACCCTGGGCCCTCGGGCAGTGCCCGATTCTCCAAATGGTCAGTCCGCCCCTGGCTGTGGGCCATTGTGGAGAGCAATTATAATTTTGTGGCAGTAGACATTTATCACTGTGAAAGCTCTGCTGAATCCCAGGTGTTTCAACATTCTTCAATGGGAAAATGGGAAAAAGCAGAATGGAAGCAAGGTATACCATTTCATGTGCTAGACCATTATCTGATAACGTTGAGCCTTTTTTCCTATGTGATAGTGCTTGATGAGGCATTTGCACTCTCCAAATAGGCAATAAAGCCTTTTCCCATAAGAGGACTAGATTGGAGAAAGACTTAGGAAATTTTCCGAGGTTTCATACAAATGTTATGTGATAACCATTGCTTGTGCTCTGCACAATTTTGTGCAATAGAGAGAGGGATACAATTTTGAAGACTCATCTGCCAATGACCTGGAGAATGTAACCTGGCCCACTGGACCAAACATACATATTAGGGAGAGATTTGCCAACTACTTTGTTTCAGCAGAAGTGGAGCGTCCATGGCAATATTCAAAGGTTTTACCATAGCAACTGAAATGTCCCTATTATCTTTGTCCCAAAGCATAACATAACCTAAAGCTTTAAATAAAAATTATTGGTTTTCAGCATTAAGGTTCCATGCACACTATAAGCTACAAAAATGCTGTAAAATCACAGGATGAAAAACGCTCATAATAGAATTTTTGTGACAGCTTTTAGCAGCAGTTAGCAGTAATTAGTAGCGTTCAGCTTTTTCTTTCTGTTGGCATATCACTCCCATAAACGCTACAGAAACATTTTTTCTTTGCTCCTAGAAGCTGAAGCTTCAAAAATGCTTCTAGACTAAAATAGTGTGAATGGACACATAGGATAATGCTATTTGCTTCTAGACTAGACTCAAAATCTGCTGCTAGGATCATTTATTTAACTTAGTGTGCATGGAGCCTAACTTACAAGTTCCTCTGCAGATATGCTTTCTACTGTAGTTATTACGTGTACTGTGCAGTTTCATGGAAGCATCTGTGATCACTATGAATATCCAGTCTTGGAGTGAAAGTTAAAAAAAAAAATCACAAGATCAGATATTCATAATGAACATAAGATGTATTTTTTGCTCTGCTACAAAAAAAATGCACAATCTTGTAATCATGTACAAGTAAACATATTGTTTGGTATTTTTGCTCAGTATATGATTACAACTTCCATTTAAACACACTACTAATTACATGGCTTTTACAAGCTTGGCATGCAGAACGGTTTCACAGTATTCACAATAAACACAGAAAAATGCCAGCAAAGTAGTTTTAATGTAGGAATATTCACAGATGTTGATACTGTCATATTCTATACCTTTTTGGCAGCGTGCTTTCAGCACACAAATAGTATGCATTCAAAAGGGAACAAAATACATTACATTTACATTAATAAATCAGCATATCAAACATGATGTCATCTCCAGACAGCCTGATGGTCTTGTGGCTACATGCTTACAGAACATTACAAGTCCTATGCAGGTGGAACCTGTCTTATTTAAAACTTCAGATATCTAGGGTCTGGCATTTTCTTTGCTAGTGACATACTGCATGTGGTATCATCATGCCAAGATCAATAGAGTTCTGAGGCCCTCAGAAAGAAGGTTGTTGGAAATGCCTATAATTCTGGCAAGTGTTTAAGACAGATCATCAAATCACTTGAAATCAATCATTAAAAGATACGGAAATACTGTACAAGTGGCATAGGTTTTACATGACAGCTAAAGTTGCCAGGACTAGCCTCCTCAGTACAATGAGGCCAAGAGCTACATGTTTGCTACTACAGAAATTCAAAGAACTCCCCAAATGTTGTGGAGTAAGATCTTCAGATAACATTTAATGACAAAGGGCATGTGTCAATATTCAGAAAGAAATAGCTCAAAATAAATTAATATGGTAACTGTATAAAAAGAACATTAGAGCAAGACTACAGTTTGCCATTTGAAAAAACAGGTAAAGAACAGACCTTATAGAACAATGTTCTGTGAGACAATTAATCAAAAACAGTATTGTTTTGCCACAGTGACAGTAGACATGTTTCCCTCAAATTGTAAACAGCAATTCAGGAGATGAACATCAACACTAACACTAACTGTGAACATCAACACTAACTGTGAAGCATGTTGCTGGAAATGTTATGGCTTGGGGCTGCTATGTTGCTTGAAATGTTATGGCTTGGGGCTGCTATGTTGCTTAACGCTTATGGCCTGAAAAAGTGTGGCGCCTTATTTAAATCTTAGATACACTATATTGCCAAAAGTATTGAGACACCTGCCATTACATACACATGAACTTTAATGGCATCCCAGGTTCAATATTGAGTTGGCCCACCCTTTGCAGCTATAACAGCTTCATCTCTTCTGGAAAGGCTGTCCACAAGGTTTAGAAGTGTGTCCATGGGATTGTTTGTCCATTCTTCCAGAAGCGCATTTGTGAGGTCAGGTACTGATGTAGAACAAGAAGGCCCGGCTCGCAGTCTTTGCTCTAATTAATCCCAAAGGTGTTCTGTCGGGTTGAGGTCAGGACTCTGTGCAGGTCAGTCAAGTTCCTCCACCCCAAACTAGCTCATCCATGTCTTTATGGACCTTGCTTTGTGCATTGGTGCGCTGTCATGTTGGAACAGGAAGGGGCCATTCCCAAACTGTTCCCACAAAGTTGGGATCATGAAATTGTCCAAAATGTCTTGGTATGCTGACGCCTTAAGAGTTCCCTTCACTGGAACTATTGTTGGGGCCAAGCCCAACCCCTGAAAAACAACCCCACTCTATAATCCCCCTCCCCAAACTTTACACTTGGCACAATGCAGTCAGGCAACTACTGTTCTCCTGGCAACCACCAAACCCAGACACGTCTATCGGATTGCCAGACTAAGATGCATGACTGGTCACTCCAGAGAACACGTCTCCACTGCTCTGGAGTCCAGTGGAGGTGTGTGTTACACCACTGCATCTGAAGCTTTGCATTGCACTTGGTGACATAAGGGTTGGATGCGGCTGCTAGGCTATGGAAACACATTCCATGAAGCTCTGACTCTGCAGACAGTTGGTGACTTCAGCGTACTATGCGCTTCAGCATGTGCTAACCCCACATTTTTTTGCCTATCACTTTGTGGCTCAGTTGCTGTTGTTCCCAGTTGCTTCCACTTTGTTATAATGCCACTAACAGTTGACTGTGGAATATTTAGTAGCAAGGAAATTTCACAGATGGACTTATTGCACAGGTGGCAATCTATCACAGTACCACGCTTAAATTCACTGAGCTCCAGAGAGCAACCCATTCTTTCACAAATGTTTGTAGAATCAGTCTGCATGCCTAGGTGCTTGATTTTATAGATCTGTGGCCATGGAGGTGATTGGAACACCTGAATCCAATGATTTGGAGGGGTGTCCCTATACGTTTGGCAATATAATGTATCTAGGGTCTGGCATTGTCTTTGCTATTGACATTTCTGGTGTCATCATGCCATGATTAATTGAAATCTCAGAGGCCATCGGAAAGAAGGTTTTGGATGCATATGAGTTTGGTAAAGGATTTAAAAAGATTGTCAAATGATCTTCGAAAGAATCACCAAATGATATTGGAAAAAATATAGCATATGATTTGGCATTATGGAACAATGTGGTGTGGACTGATTAACTAAAGCAGAATGTCACTCACTCAACCAACAAACAAGAGATCCCTGTGCTCAAATCCCAACAGCTAGTGCATGCATTTATCCATCAGGTGCTAAAGGGGTGTAACCACATATTAACACAGTAGGCAGAGCAGAGTAGGATTGGCCATAGAGGGATTACTTTGACGCGGTTGGCCAGCTTAAGCATGTATTGCAATATGTGTGAACTAAATATCCCTATTTATTGCATAGTCTGCTTGAAAGGGTATGTACCAGTGTGCAGAGGGTCCTCAGAATTTCACTCAACCAACTTGTAAACAGATAGGAAAGTATATCATATTTACTTGATTAAAACATTTTTTTTTTACATTTCTTCAATTACTTCCTGGTTTCCAGACCTAGGCAAACTATGTCATACATCTCAGGAATCTTCAGGAGGGTAAGAAGGGATTTTCTCAGCTAAGCACACCCTCCTGCCTGCATGCCTGAGCTAAAGGGAAATGGATTCCAGAACGAAAATGCTACATGAATCATCTGCCCTCTGAACCATTGCCAGAAATGATAGGGGGCATTTTTCAAAGTGATTTTTCAGCAAAATAAAGCATGAAGACATGGATGGATGAGTTTGCTTTGAATATAAAAAATGAATTGAATAGCATTTTTTTTTTATGGTGCTCAGATGCAGTGGAGTTTCACTTTAAATATAGTGTTGTTTAGCAACAATAACAGTAGACATGTTTGGCTTACAATAACAACAGCAGTTTAGGAGATAAACCTCACACCAACTGTAAGGCATGCTACCGGATATATTATTGCAATAATTCCACTGATGCCTAATACATCCCCAATAGTACTATTAGTAATTGAAGTTGCAATAGTAATTGTATTCGTTTTAGACACAAGCAATGCTTTGGGTATTGCAGGGCAACAAAGAGTGACTTCATATGTCAGGCACTTAGAGTTCACATTTAATTAGCTGGATTTGAGGGAACACTGCTGATTCTTAAAAAAACAATCCTCACCTTGCCAGTGAGAGAGTTTAAATGAGCTGTTTAGTATCAGAAAGAGATTACACCATATTAGCCAAATGGTAGTTATGCCAGGAAAACCCTTTGCTGTCCAAAAACAAAACCGTTTTAATGCCTAGATTATTACTCGACAACTAACCACGTCAGTCCTCACACTCGTATACCCCTTATGGACCATAGCTATTCTTAGATGCATGCTCTGAGCTTCTTTATTTGAAAATAACATTGCCATTACTTAAGAAAACATTCTTTTTGTTGGGGGGGGGGGGGCAGGGTTAAATACAGTATATGGGCTGCTTGGATGGAGTTGACGACATATGCCAGTGCATTTGCATGATTTCACAGCTGACAATTTGTGTTTTTCTTGCTGGCGCATGT